ACGAATCCTTCAAGCTAGGTATAATTTAATGTGGTTTTGTGAGCAAATTCAAAAAATGGAGTACTCACAGTCATCCAAATCGTCATGGCCATCTTCAAAGTATAAAGATAGACCTGCAAGGAGAAGGGAATAACATGGGGATCCATAGTGGCAAACATGTCATCAACATACAACCATTGTCTCTTCTTCAACAACACTAACAATAAATCATTGCGACCTTGCTGATTAACCATGTCAATTAATTCATTGTCAATTTGGGCTGAAACCAATGGTTATTTTCATTATCAATTCATCTTTCAGTTTTCTGTTCAATTAATTTAATTGGTTGGGGGAAAAAGTCCAAAAACTGTGAAAGAAAATTACAATTTCTAACAATTATGTTTTCTTAAAGCCTAATGTGATGTCTTGCTTTGCCCAACAACAGCCCCAAAACCCAAAGGTATTCAGTTTATTGTCACAATAAAATTACTTTAAAATAGCTTAAGTGATTAACCCATGAATTGCCTAATGATTAATTAATCGCCTTGTTGTAGCTCTAACATCAAAAGTGAGAGGGGGAGCGGGTGGGACAAAAATATTGATCCCAAAGGAGATACTAAACATGAATTCTCCCAGAATCATTTCTATCTATAGTTGTTTGAAGTGAGATTCCCAGTGTGGCTTCCCATTTTACATCCAAAGTGACGGTCTGAAACTAGGCGATTTTCCACTCCTTGCAGATAGTAGTGCGATAGCTAATGTAACTAACTAACACCGCAAAACTACTTTCTTTCATTACTTGTTTTCAATACCGCCCAGCCACTATTATATAGAACAACAGTGGGGCAGGACAGTCAAAAGGAGAGAGCAGAAAGAAGACCCAGAAGGAAAAGCATGTGGTGGGACGGCTAATGTCTCTGTTTACAGCTGGGCAAGCAAGGGAATGTGCTTCAAATAAAAAACCCTCATATCTCAAAGATACATCAAATGCAATTTTTCACGAGTTGAGCAAATAACGTTATAATTGATTCACAACAGCGCAATAAGCATGATAGAAAAGAATAACATCTCTCCTTTGTTATGGTATAACGTTAAAGGAGGATTTGGTCAGCTTATGGCTGAAAATGACTTTAGCAACTAGGCTAACGTTAGCCAAGTCAACTCGCTAGCCTTTGCTATGACAACAGTTCGATAATAAACACGGCTTAAGGTACCGGCAGTGTCCAAGTACAGAATATGGCGATTTCAAATTAAACCGCACGTACTGTGTGATTAAACGTTTAAATGTAACACCACAGTCTCACAGTTCGATAGCCATAAATAGCTTATTTAGCTAGCTGGCCAAGTGTGCTAAGTTTGCTAACACCGCTTATCCAGCCTTTCGCTTAACTTGCTCGCCTTAGCCTACACTCCGCCTGTGAATTCCACAAACGAAGTAAAGCAGAAGTCACGGTTTTAACAATTTCAACTCTGAAGACCATAATACGCATTTAAAGTACAATCTGAGCATCAAAACATAGTCAAGAACAATATTCTAAAAGTGTTGTTACCTGCCATCTTGAGTATCGGCTCGGCTCTACGGGCTGCCGTCCCGGTGTGGGCTGTCACAACCACAGCTGTCACTCAAACAAGGGAGAGGACTACTTCCTGAAAGTACTTCCTGATACTGGTGTTCACCGGTTGATTTTTGTTTTCCAACAAGTTAACCAACAACCGTTTCTGACCTTGGACATAAACTCGGCATAACGGAACATAAATAACAGGCGCTGGGCTTTGTGTATCTCCACACAAAAAAAAAAGAATCGAGTAATCACGTGACTGCACGCCGTAGTTCAAGATGGAGACGGAGCGATTTGTTGGCTTTACTATTAGCTAGCTAGTTGTTTACAATAATCATAATATGGCAAACACGACGGGATACTGGATGTTTTAATGGTAATAGCAAGAGTTATTATCTAACCTGAGATGTGTGTATGGCAGCTTTAGATCACGATGAAATAAAGCTGGTAAACACAGTTCACCTGAATAATATTGAACATAACAAGCCAGAGGAGAAAACTGTCAATGGTAATCACCACAAGCTAATTTTGAGAGAGAGGAGATCGATATGGCGCTGAGAGAGTTAAAAGTCTGTCTCCTGGGGGTAAGTCAGTATCGATTTTTATCTCAACATGTTTGGCTTTTGCCTATACTGCACCTCTAATTGTGTCTGCAGCATCAAATATATCACGTTGCTCTTGTATCGGGATGTACGCAACCATACTGATGGATAGATCTTTTTACCCTTTTTACCTGTTTTTTTTTATCAGAATGTGTTTTATAGTTGTGATAACACATCTAGCTACTGTTTCTGAACTGAGCATTGTGTATATTTTGCGTCTACAGGATACTGGTGTTGGAAAGTCAAGTATTGTTTGGAGATTTGTGGAGGACAGCTTTGACCCAAATATCAACCCAACAATTGGGTAAGTTCCTGCTCTTTTCCACTCTAGAAATGATCTTTACTCTCCATCTTATCTGTTGTGTTTGTGCAGGAAATTAATTAATTCCTGTCTCGCTGATCAGATTCCAGTTGATTGCCAGAAAATAATTGATAGCCATTTTTGTTAATCAAATAATTGTGATGTGAATTTTGCACTTACCTCTGACATTTTATAGGCTAAACTGCTAATTTGAGAGAAGTTTATATTCCATATTCCAGTTAGATATTTAGTCTATTTTATTTGTTTTAATTAATATGCACAATATTTGCTAATTCTAATGCTCACGTTTCTTTCATAACATCATAAATGGAACAGATTTTGTGGCTCCAGGAATTTTTAGACAATTTTTTTAGCTTTTTCAGCTTGTGATAGCCATTTATCATAATTCAGTGATCAGAGAGTACTAGATACCAACTAGTGTTGTTCAACCATTTAACCTTATCGCTGTGTCAGCATATATCCACAAATAAATAACAAGAAATTCCAGTAATGAAATACCAAATATTTTTGAGGTAAATTAAACACAGCTATGCCGGCAGCTTTATTTTTCATCTGTGGTATATGTAAAAAATACTGGCAGATATGTTGTTACTGAATTTTTAGAATTAAAATCAAATTTTGATAATGAAATTAGCTGTTATATTGTTGATAACTGTTGATATTGTCAACTTTAACAACAGTATCGGTTGGACTTAATTGTAAATTAGTTTTTTTTTATCATTTGCATTTGGTATGTTGTGTTTTACTAAAGCTGGCACGTCTGAAATCAACTGATGGGATGAGTGTGTGCCTTTCTCACTGTCTCAGTCTTGATTATGAGATGGAATTCAACCTAAGTTTTAGTTGCAGTTCTCTTATTTGTTTGTATTTTGTACAACTGTGAAAACAAATGGAATATTTTTATAATGTAACACAGCATACCAATCATGAAGCCCATTTCTCTTCGCCAGGGCATCCTTCATGACCAAGACAGTGCAATACCAAAATGAACTCCACAAGTTCCTGATCTGGGACACGGCAGGGCAAGAGCGGGTTAGTAATCTTCACTGAGTTATTGGCCCTAGGATTTTGTTTTTTAATGAAGTGGTGGATAATAAACCTAAGCAGGATATACATGTGTTCTGGCACAACAGTACACACTTTTCATACTGTATCAGTTTGACTTGGCTTATTCAGAAATATACTCATTCCTCCCAAGAAGAAGTGAGAAAGCTACTTGCATGTGCATGAACCAGTCCCTGAAGCAGCCTGAGGGAAAGTGAAGAGTGCAGTTAGTCATTATTTCTGATAGGGGGCAACATTTATCTTTCTATAGGTGCAAAGCAATATCCTGCTTCTTTTAGTGCTCTTGTTTCAGCAGTCCCTTTTTTTATACTGTTTTAAATTAAGTGTGGTGGAGTGGATTTTCTTTGATTCAGTGAGTAGCAAGTGGTTTGTAATATAATGTAATATAATATAAGAAACACAATACATTTTGGTGTCTGAGTACAGTTTTAATGCTTAAGCCTGTGAAGTCAACAGCAAGCTCCAGAAAGTTGTAGCATAAGGAACTACTTTCTCCATTGACTCATACTCCGCATCCCATATTTCTCAGTATTATCTCTTCACATCACTTCCCTTTTTCCCCATGCATAGCCTTCTCTTTTTCTCATGCACAATCTCCTGCTGTTGTAGTGGTTTATCCCTGCTGCTGTCCTCTCCACAGAGGTGAGATAAGATGCTGCTTGTCATTTAACCTCCTAACACCAATGCAGCCCAGTTTAAGATAAGAGGGGAGGATGAAACTCAAACCGTCTCAGCCCTCTGGCATGTTTCGCTACTGTGTCACTGCCACTTCATGTTATAATGGCCTATTTTCTTTGCGTCTTCTCTTGTGCAGTGATTTTTTTTTCATTTCTTTTCTTGGTAACAATCTATTTTCTGTGATTCTTTTGGGATTATTTTCATTTTTTATACCCTTTTTCCCACAATCTACTTTTTGACTCCTATGTGGCCTCTCCATCTCCCAAGTGGTTCAATTTTATGTGAAAAAAGTAGCAACATTCCTTTTGTAGGTTTTGCATGTGTCTGTGTGTGAGTGTTTGTGTGTTTCCTACAAAGCTGCTGTGGTATGTAGAAGCCTTTTATGGCTTGTTTTCCAATCTCTGCGGAGTTTTAGCCTATCAAGCTCGGTTGAGTTGATAAAGGAGAATACAGAGCCAGCTATTTCACATGGATGGCAGGAAAGATCAGAGAGTAAGAAGGACATGCTCTGTGATTTCCAAACTCTACAATCTGTATTTTCGAGACCAGATGAAGCCTTGTGAGTACATATGAGCCCGGCTGTCAACAACCCATCCAAACCTCCCCCTCTGACTGCTCCTTCTCACTGAAAACAAGCAAAGGGAATCTTGCAACCTACTGGAATAGGAGGTTTCCTTTCATTATACACCCAGCTTGTGGTTTCAGCAATTAATCAGTACTCACAGGGCATCTCTGGGACTGTTTTCTCAGTTGCTGTGTGGCCAGACGTCTGGCCTCGCTGTGATTGCTCCATGGGTAAAGACACTGATAGACCACACAGGTTTGCTGGTGCTGCAGCCCCAACACTGGCCAATGAAGCAGACAGCACTCTCCTCTGTGCGTCTGCCAAATATCCCAAATTGGATTCTCGCTGGTGGACTTGGGGCCAGTAACAACTATAATTATGTGGAACGTGTGCTTTCCTGAGGTAACAGTGTCACTTGAAGATGGATAGTTTATTCCATCGCATTGTAAAGGAAAATAGAATTGGCGGGAAGGAAGGGTCATTCCAAGTGAAAATCTTGTTTTTTTTTAGATACGGGTTGTTTCTTTTAAAATAAATATCATTAGTTAATGAATAACACATGGTTTTATTAGCCTGTTAAAAGCGACGGTAGAACTTATATTGCACACTCACTCCTATGACCAAGTTAGAGTGGCTAATCAACCTAAGCCACATATTTTTTGGACTTTGGGAGGAAGCTGAAGTACTCGAAGAAAATGCACGCAAAAAGGCACTGGCCGAGGCTCAAACCCAGAGCCTTCTTGCTATGAGGCGACAGTGCTAACCACCATACCACTATGCCACCCAGTGTCAAAAGTGTTTAATACGTAGCAGAATGGCCCCATTAAGAGTTATATTAATATATGTAGATGTATTTAATTACTGATGTTTTAACTTAAAAGTAGCATTTTACTGTTGTAGCTGAACATGATGCAGCTATTTAGAACTATTTTATGTCCTGTTGGTTAATTAATTTGAAACAATGCCTCAAATTTTATAATCTGGTCAAATGTTTTGTCTATAAACTCCAAATTACTAAAGTAACCGGTAACTGTAGCTGTTAAATAAATGTAGTAAAGTAAAATGTATAAACCCCCCCCAACCCCACCCCCGTGTTGTAGTGAAATATAAAGTAGCAGAAAATGAAAATACTTAGACCTCAAATTTGTACAGAGGTACAGTACAACACTTGAGTACATGTACGATATGAACTAAATAAGGTTAAAGGAATTAGACTTTTTATATGTGTGTTGTTTGTTGGAGTTGGATTAATGGCTGTGGACAACATGACCCTTATGTGTGGGCAGCTCAGAAAATTTACACTGATAGTTTGGGTTTTACCTTAGAATTCCCTTCACACGAAGCAAAGAAAAACAATATATTTCAAAATATTATAACGGGCTAATTGTTGAAGTCAGCTTCCAATGTATACTGGAAAGTATTTTACCAGAAAAATACCAAAACGTGCAAAAAGAAAAGAAGAAGAAGAACCCACAGCCTCCCAGGCAGCTATGGATTTAGAAATTTTGCACACGCTGTTTTGATTATGCAGGGCTTTGTGATGTATTGGGTTGGGATCAAATGTATAGTGTTCCATAAACATCAAAACGCTAACAGCCTTTGACACATTCTGCTCATCTTTCTCTTGATGACTCCCACATGTGTGAGGTCTTGGTGGAAAGACTTCGCCATACTTCCATTTTAAGTAAAGCCACTTGGCTTATAGGCTGGGAACATCAGGTCTTTGGTTTTGACTTGGTTGGTGTCTTTTTTGCTTGTGTTTATGCTCTGTTTTGAGTTTGTTACAGTGTTACTGCGTTTAATGAAACTCACATTAATTACTCTGTGCCTGCTTAACGGAGTAGCTATAGTCTGTGAAAACAGAGGCACTGTTTCTTGATGTAAGACATTTGAAAATACAGAAGTGCATATTTTTACAACTCTCTTCGTATTCAAAAATGATAAATTGTAAGGAAATCAAGGTAAGTAGTTTTCAAAGATGAGTTGTGATTGATCATCTTTTTCTTTATGGTGATCGTGTTCAGTTTCACATGGTTTCAAAGCTGCGTATATGTCATGTAGTCTAGGCAGAGATGAATCTCACTGAGAGGTTTCATCAGACACATGAACATCTCCTCTGTCTGACCTGTCTCTTTTCTTTTTAAGAATGCTACAGGGCATTACTCATCACTTTTCTTTCTCTGTCTTCCCTTAGTTTCGTGCTCTGGCACCAATGTACTACAGAGGCTCAGCAGCAGCCATCATTGTTTATGACATCACAAAAGAGGTATTGTTTACTTTTTCTCCTCTGTCACTAATCCACTAAGTACCTAACTGTATGGTTTCATTTTGTTCTATATCGTTCCTGATTTTTGTAATTGTACGCATGAAAGAAATAGTTTGACATTTTGGGAAATGCGTTTATTCGCCTTCTTGCTGAGAGGTAGATGAGAAGACTGATACCACTCTTACATCTGTGTGGTAATTACTGTTACTGTACAGCCAAGAGCATTAGCTTAACTTAGCATAAACATGGAAAAATTTGGAACCAGCTCGCTTAGTTCTGTCCAAGGGTAAAAGAAATCCACCTACCAAAACATGTAAAGCTCACTATTTCACAAGTTCTATGTCATTTCTTTCATTTGTACACAAACTAAAGTATAAACATGACAAAGGTGCCAGACTATTTCTGGGCTAGGAGCAGAATCTTATGTCTCTGCCGGTCGCCTTGCTCAGTGGCACATAACCCTCTGTAAAACAGTTCATAGTTTTTTGGGGGTTTTTTGTACCAATTAAACAAACAAGATACCACATACCACAAAAGGCACTTTAGAAGTATTGGTAGGCAACTTTTATTACCTTTGGGCAGAGCTGTTTTCCCCTGTTTCCAGACTTATAAGCAAAGCTAACCAGCTGCAGGTTCCAGCTCCGTATTTACCTTCAGAATCGTACTGATCCTCTCATCTAAGTCTTAGCAAAAGAGAGCAAAGAATCAGAGTTTTTGCAGCTGTCAAACTCTGCCTTTAAACTTTCACCACAGGTAGCCTACTATGATCTGTGTGCTTATCGGTTTATAAAGTGAAACATGTTGCTTGCCTGTATCACCAGGAATCTTTCCAAACACTGAAGAACTGGGTGAAGGAGCTACGCCAGCATGGCCCTCCTAATATAGTGGTCGCCATCGCTGGCAACAAATGTGACTTGTTGGATGCCAGGTGAACCTGAAACAGAGATTGTGTATTTAATGAACAATGCTAGTGGGCAATATATGAATGTGTCCCAGGTTAGAGCTTTAGAGTGGTCACAGGATTTTAGATGTCAGTTTTATATGGTGGAATTCACAGGAAAGGGGCCATTTAAGAATGAGTTTTACCTCAAAATAACTGTTGGAACTGCCTGTGTTTGCAGCTAAACTGAATTCTGCTCTGCAAGGTGGCATTCTGTCTCTCATACTGTTTATTATAGTGTCGAATCGGTGTGTTGTGAAAAATAGGGTGATTAGACTCTTGCCTCTTGTGGTCTTTGTTCATCTTGCACTGCTGTAGATTTGTAGTAGGAAAGCCATGGTTATTTATTATTGTTGTTTATTCTATATCTTTCTCAAAACTGAAAAATCTGTCAGATCTTTATAAAGACTGTTCATTCAGACATCATCCTTGAAACTGGGAAATCTTCCACATAATAGCTGTAGAAGTGAATTTGATGGTGATCAGGTCGTGCATGAAATTGGAGAATCTGTGTTCGTACTCCAACTTAAATTTTGACATATCTCTTGTATTTACAGGGAAGTGCCAGAGAAGGATGCCAAGGACTATGCTGACTCCATCCATGCCATCTTTGTAGAAACCAGCGCCAAGAATGCCATTAACATCAACGAGGTGTTTATAGAGATAAGTGAGTGCATTTCTTCAGCATTTGGTGCTGTTGGCCTGTACATCCTCAGGTTCCTTTTGAGCTCTGTAATGCAGCTTTGCCTATTAGTGGTATAACCTCTAAATCTTTCAGGAGTGTTATCAATCTTTTATGTGTTTCTATGTTCACTTACATTTTCATTGTGCATTGCACAGTGACATAATAGCGTACATCAACAGCACACACAAAAGTCACTTGTTTTTTAGTCTTCATAAGGAAGAATGCAGACTTTTTAAAAGCATTTTGACCTATACCTTCTGCACCATAGCTATTTGGCTCCTGAAGAACTCCTGTCTACATTCACATTATTTGTGTCACTTTTTCAGTGTGAACACAAACATGCAATATTTTGAAACTGATATGGAAACGCAAAATATTAGTAAGAAATAACAGTGAAAAAGTGTGTAGCCTACTTGAAGCAGAAAGGGGCATTTGAATGCTTGAGACCCGTGTAAATGTGTGTTTGTACGTTCTCACAGGTAGGCGCATCCCTGTTGTAGACGCAGCAGGAGGGATCTCAGGAAGAGGCTTCAAACTAGGACGTCAGGCCTCAGAGTCTCGCAGGATGTGCTGCTGATGATGCCTGAGACTGTCCCCACATGACATGTGACCTGACCTGTGCTCAGCCTCTGTGGCCCCGACAGACACAGCTCTGGTTCATCTGACAGTTCTACATTTTCTCGAACACCCTGCTGTTATCAACACCTGGGAGCAGCAGATTCACTCTTGACAATTGTAGCAAATGCATTTTTACAACACTCAGCAACAACAACAAATCACCATGTATCATCTGACATTTGTTAGCAGGAGAAATACTTCTAGTTTACTGAGCAAAGACAAAATTCTTTCCATTAATACATGTCTGTGTCAGACCCCATACAGGCAGGTTTTCTGGCTTCTATAATGGACATCAGTCTCTGATTGATCAGAGGCAGCTACAAATTTTTGATTCAGAAGTTGTACTATCTGAAAATGGTTAAATCTCACCAGATTATTTTGGTAGTACTTAAGTTATTGCTTATGTTTTTGGGAGACCTTTCCTTAGACATTCTTAACTTTTTGAAGGATCAATCTTTATAATTAATGTGTGTAATCACATCACACAAAACACTGAAGAAAGAAACTGTTAGTCATCAGTGTTTAGACCAACTTTTCATCTCAAGGTTTGCTTGATGGATATTTGGAAAGTGTTGGCTGTCACTCAAGAAGTACTATGCATGCTTAATTTTATCTTTAGTGTGTGATTGATGCTTTCATTAAGGTTAAATACAAAAATAGGTGTTTTGATGTAAGTCATAATCACACAGTCAAATATGCAGAAATGAAAGGTGTGTGGGAGCCTGACTCCTTTACACTAAGCTTCAACATTTTACGAAGTACGCGTATTTGCGATCTTGCCTTGAGATGAGAAGATTGATACCTCTCTCCTATCTTTACAGTAAATATGTAGTTGGAGACGGCAGCTGGTTTGCATAGTTTAACATAAAGAACGAGCCAGGCTTGCGGTTAATTGTCTTTATGCTAAGCTAAGATAACCATCTGCTGGTTGTTGCCTCCTATTTACTATAAATACGAGCATGGTTTTATTCTTTGCATCCAACTCTCCACAAGAAAACAAATATTTCCCAAACTATTTCTTAACTTCTCTCTTTAGCTTGAAGGATATTTTGATTGCCATTTGCTCTAAATAATAAGAATGTGATAAGGAGAGCCTCCCAGTCTACACTCCCCTGTGGCAGTGCTTTAATCCAACTTTGTTGATAGTCCTGAAGTTGATTATATGGTAACGGTTCCAGTTGCCCGCATGTATTCCACATTTCCATTTGTAATTGTTGAAGAACTATGAACATAATCCTGTATATAAAGTACCACATAGTACACAAAGAATTGTGCCAGGATTTTCCCCAATATTAAATGAGCTTTATTTTTTCTCTAATCTTTTTTTTGACCGTTCACGGGTGAGCACATCTGTCTTCAAGCCTTTGCTTTTACTTAACAAAGGTTTACAGTGGAGGCTGATTTTTGTGAGTGCTTGCCAAATTCTTTAAGTTCTAAATTTTTTCACATACTTTTAGCACTGGGTCAAACATCCAAAGTCATTGTACTACCTGACCTGTGATGAAAACACTGAGGTCTGGGGACAAACCAGACTGTTTAGAGGAAAGTCAGATTTGGGAGCTTCAGTCTCCCCTTAGCAGAAGGTTATAGGAGAAGAAGTAGAAATGGCACTGCATTGACATACTGACCCTTCATTGAACTGTAGTCTCCATTCTGCTCTGAATTATTTGCTTTGTTTCAAGGTCTATTACCTGACTTTCCATTCCCTCACTGCCTTGTTCCTTTAAATTCCAGGCCCTTATTGGGTGGCCAAATTTCAATTATGGCACAGTGTATTGCAGCGTTCACAGAGCCCTATCACCCCATCTTGTATTAAAAACAACCCTATATATCTTTGTGATCCTTATGCTATATTACAGTACTTTCATTTACCTCTTATAATGAGCTTCAGTAGCAGTTGCCCATGAGCCTAAACACTTATGTGTAATTTCATGCTTGCCTCTGTCTCCTGAGCACTTTCATCCCCAACTCCTCTTTATGAGGTTGCCAAAAAATACAGATGTGAGCAGAATGATACTGCTAGTCCATATTTATACAAATAAATTGTATGCTTTTCTGTCAGTGCAAGCAACTTTGTTTGCCATTAAGCATTCTAAATGTTAGTGATGAGTTGTGTGCTAAGTAGTACTACCTATTTTTCAGGGTTTTCCTATGGAGTGCTGTAATTATTATGATGAAGGTGAAATGTGACCCAATTTAAGAAATCAGTTAGAGATGGGTGTGAAGTCTTTTCTTTATTTTCCAACTGATTATAATGACTTTTATTTATCTAATCTTATGCTTATTAGATGAGTGCTCTTTCCACATATGATCAAATAAGCAGTGTGAATCAAATTCCTTGAAAACCATAATCATACCCTAAACCTTTAATTCACTCTGCTGTCTTTGATAATTCACTCAGCACTGCATCATATCTTTTAACTGTATTTACTAAAGCTTCAGCAATTATATTAAAAAGAAAATCACTCTGTACTTTGGAAGCTGCACTTTTGACTGTAGTAATTGGCTCTCATTACTAACACTGTGTCTGCAGTCTATTATGCCTGTGAAATCACTTGATGAAACATTCTTGTAGAAGTGTCATTTTCTTAATGTCCCATGATGTTTATTTGGTTTATGACTGTTTGCTTAGTTCTTGTTGCTACAAAGAACTTGGTGGCAAATAAGGTCAAAGCAATTTCACTAATCACATAAAATGCTTAAATATATTTGAAGTTTGATAATGATATGTTTTCCTTTATATGGAAGCATCAGGCATGTATATTGTGTTGCCAGTGTTGCATTAAAAAATACCAGTAGTCTTGGGCTGGCCCTGAGAATGTGATTAATCTATAATATGTATATTTTTCAGTGTAGATATATACCATCAAATTGCACACAAGTCAAAGACTATATATTCTATGCCAGCTGTATGACTACAACAGACATGTATACCAGTTGGAGCAATACCATCAGCACTGTAGTTATCATATTTAGCTTTTTACTATGTTTCATATTGATTGTAACAAAATGCCTGAAAACATTTGTTTGCAGTGTATTTCCAAATGTGTAAAAAGGGAATTGTCAATTGTTTATTAATAAAAGATTGACAAAAATCATCCCTCTCTTCTGGTCCATCATGCAGCCTGTGTGTGTCTGTGTGAATTTTCTCACTCCCTTGTGCTAGGCCTAAGAGAGATGTGTAACTTGTTTCTTGGGGCCACTACTTTTAGTGACTGGTGGTGGTGTTCAATGGGCAGCCAACCGCCTGGCTATATATACAGTATATTATAAATATGACACTTGAGATGGATGTTTGAAGAGTAGCAAGCTTTTCACTGTACTTTAAATAATGCTGAGAATGCAAAACACTTATTTGACAACCCCCAATTCCCTACTTAACTCCAGTAAGGTTGCATATAAAGTAGTGTGGTTGACATTATGATCAAATATTTCAGTTATATTATGAGAATTAATGTAAGCTTGTGTAAATGTGGAGAGTTTATTTAAAATTAATAAGAGGCAGTTTGAGACAGACAACTGCATCTTCATAAGTTACATCTGGGTATTATCCTTCCACTGTGTCCTTGTATTAGGTTCAGATAAATGTTTGCACAAAATAAGGATTGAGGATTTTGTCCAACTCACTTTTAATAAAAGTATAGCACAAATTAGATTTTAAAGGCCAGTATGAACAGGAGAAAGTAAAAGCTGTTTTATGACTATTGCTTAAAGATAGTCTACTTGTGACCCTATCCTTTAATTAAAGGCTCTGAGTATCTTCATATAGTAATTGGTCAACATAGATACTGAACTCCTGTTAACCTTAATGTTTTATCCACGTCCTTCCTCCTCACTTTGAGACCCTGGGTGCACTCTGAACCCCCACAATCCCTGGGTGCACCCTGACTCCCCACTCCCCACCCCACCCATCCGGGCGGCTCTGCAGAGGCAGTGACGTCACCGGGCTGTCCTAACTCCCTTCCTGCTGCATCGCAACAGCCGTTAGCAGCTCTAGTAGCACCAGTGACCAGGGGGACAGGATATCCACCGCCAATTCATTGAGAGAATAACTGTAGACGGTGCTGCACTCAACAACATCCTAACACGGGGGTACCCGACAGGAACTGGTTGCAGTGCAATAACCCCGCTCCAGCTGTTGGGATATGGCCAGGCCGGAACAGGTTCTGCTCTTGGAGCCTCAGCACGAACTGAAATTTAGAGGTAGGAGAGGGGAGGGCCCGGGTTCGGACGGGAGGTGGGGAGGGCGCTTCTGTCAGCAGTAGGGGTGGGGGTGTAGGCCAGTGTTACGGTAACCAAACCAGAAGAAGCTGCAGGACACGATTTGATAACGTTGCACTCCTATGAAAGAATAAGACTGAGGGGACAGCAGGTCAACTGACAGCTAGCTAGCTGGATAGCTAGCTGGGTTAGCCTCCGACGGCTAAGATAGCCGGGCCCTGTTTCACATTTATGCCGCAGGGTCTAAACAGTGATAAGTGGAAACCATGAGACTCATGTTCACTGGGAAGTAGCAACTATAACAAACACGTGAAATTATAAATACCTTCTAAATCCATAATTTCTATTGCATATTAGCATACTTAGCAGGGCTGGCTAGCTAACATTAACTACCTCTCTGATTGGCTGTGTCGTTCTGTTGGCCAGCCATCTATCATTCATAGCATGACAGCTCACAGGACAGAATAACTGCAGCCTCTCCCACATAATATGCTTTATCTACAAGCCGTTAACAGTTTCACCATCCTTATCTTTAGGGTTTTACAGCTCCTTATACTTATTTGAGTGAAACTCGATATTTGGCTGCAAGATGTCACGTTGCCTAAGGCCCAAATTATATTACATAAATACATACTGTATGGTTTTGTTGTACAGAGATCTTGAAACAAATATTATTTCACCTTGCAAATAGGAATAAGAAACTACAGAGTCTCAAAAAATTATTTTTGATAGGACTGTTACCTTCAAAACACTATCAAACTTTTACTCTGATGATCTCTCTCTTGAATGGTTTGGATGCATTTTAGACACCAGTGTCTGCTGAATGAATGTAATGTAATGCAGACAAGAGCTGTATGGCTCCTAAATGCAGTGCAGCCATAGGTGTATGTAAGGGGTGTTACTACGTTTGGTTTCTATCTGAGACCAAGTAATACCAGCGACAGAATCACCCATGTAAGTACTTATGTTGTTAAAAGCAGCTTATGTACTGTAATATAAGGGAGAGAAATACTGTAGTTGATGGCTTATGAGGTGAATGGATTATTAATAGGCCACTTCTATATATTTTTTATCACCAAATGTGTTGCTAAACATAAGACATTTGTGTTTATTGTTTTTTGTTTAATAGTTAATCACATGCATGGCAAGTGATTATCACTGTGGGTATGCACACAACAGCAGCAGTATACATTTTTGTAAATGAAACAGAAGTGGCAGCTGTTGTTTAAATCAGTGTGCATCTTTTCATGAACAGGTGGTATTCATCTGGCTGAAATGAACAAGTTGTGAGAAGTTTGTACAGTTAAGAGAGTTTGGTGAACTGATTTGGAACAGTCAAGCCTCACAGAAAAAAGTAAGATGATTTTAGGTCACAAATACAGAAATGGTCTTACATTAGGCCCAGTGTGGTTACAAATAGTTTTCTTTTTTACTTTATAGGCTTGAATATAACAAGTGGGTAGTACATAATAATTATTTCTAGTTCACTTATAACTAGTGCCAAACTGTGCCTTTCTTGGAAATATCTTTGTAATTTACAGGTAAATACCTGCTAGTTTTTTAGGAAATAATGAGAGTTTCCAGGAAATTAGCTGGGAAATATTAGATCCTTAAAATAAAGTGTTACCACTATGTTGCACAGACATATATAAAGTGTCAACTCACATAGTGAGTGTTTCTGAGCTAGAGGAAACTTTGTGTCTCACTTAGTGACAATACCACAAATCACAGGCCTATACTCAGGCCCCAGGTAATATGTAGGCATTCACTGTGAAACTTCAGGAAACAGGGGGTAGGTCTGTAGCACCTTATTAGGCCTTAGCCCAGACCATCTGTTGATGTCTTCTTCTCAATCTGTTCATCTTTGTCAGGAGTAATATTAATAGGTTTTTATGAAAAATGACTGCCCTCAGTTTTTTTTTTTCACATGAAAAGTCGACTGGAAGGTACCCCGACCCTACCAACCTACATCACTGAAGCAATGGGAAGGTGTGGAGTGACAAAAACTGCTGCGATCCGGCCACAGGAAAGAAGCACACAGGGCCAGCAGAAGAGAAAGAGGTGCCAGTTGTGTCCAAGAAACAAAGATCGCAAAGCCACTGATTGCTGTTGGAAATGCAGTACTCCTGTGTGCAATGGTCACACCCAGAAGCAAGTAGTTTGTGACATCTGCACACAATGAAAGGAGATAAGATGTTTGTGTGTGTACATATGTGTGGACAGTGTTATGGTCTCCGGACCTGTTGAATGTTCTCTGTTCGTCCTCCAAACATAGGGACACATAAACATGTTTTGACACCTGATTGACCTGATTGATTGATTGTTAAGTGCTAAAATGTGAATGAAAAGTAAAAAAATGTACATGTCAAAAATGAAATTACTCTTTTGTTTGAACAAAATATATCATCTTAACCAAAATGAGAGAAATGTCTTTAGTTTATTGCAAAAACGCATTGATTTTAATTGGGGTCATTTTTGACCCCACTCGTGGAAGAGTGTAGGTATTGGTAGGTTGTGCATCCAAGGGTTAAAAATATAACTTTGAAAGTTGACAGCTTCAAATATCAGTTCTTAATAATAGGTTACTGCCATTTGTGGTCTTCATGCATTGGATTATATCTCAAGAAACATTCAGGAAGTAGTAGATCAGGTGTACAGTAGTTGGTAGCATGAGATGTCAAGCCAAGATTGTGAGAGTCTGATTTTCCTCTGTTTTGCTCAGGAAGGGAAGTGTCATTTGCGCTGGATGTTTGCTGAACTTAAACTTGATCTACAGTCTGGGATATGTGCTAATTCTGAAATAGCTTCATGTTGTCATGCAGAGTGAGTGTGCTTCTACACACTGTACACTTTATCTTCACCATAATAGCTGCTGTAGTGACCTAGCTTCTTCATTATAAAACTATACTTGATTAAGAAACTTGGCCTGGCTGAGCTGTGGGGCTTGTAATGTAGCACAAGGTTATGGTGTTTGAGTAACTTGAAGTTGCTCAACAAATGCTAGATTCACTGTCAACACTCTAAGAAGTCCTGAGTTGTGCTTTTCTTGATAAAAATGTTCACCGTTTCAGCAGCTTGAAAAACATCACCAGGCCATCAGTGTTTCAAAATCAGTCAATGATGTTGCATATTCCTGGGTCTCTAACTACAATGTGTATGATATAAACAGATCAAAATTTCAGCAAAGTGACAAACATTGACTACAAATAATAATTTATGAATAATATTTGTTTATATGTTTTTACTGTAATGCAGTGTTCTAAATGAATCTTGGTTTCCTTAAGTCTGACTGATATAAACTAGCCCATCTCTGCATAGCATGAGTTGTGTACCCCAAAGGTAAACTTTAACCGTTCTTGTAATTTGAGAGATAGGCTAGTTCAGTCCCACTCAGCCAAACCAGCTCAAACTGTTTCCTGGTTTCCTAATTAAGTCGTCTACTGAAAAAAAAAAAGTAAAAAACAAAAAGGCCCCTGAAGATATGGATATTTGAACACTACTATAGAAACTCAAAATAGAGAATATCCTATGGCATGATACAGTACACTGGCAAACCATGGCTTCAAAGCCTCTGTAAAGTTCTGAGGAACTGAAAAAACTTCACTCTCTTATAGAAGTGGTGAAATACTGGCCGATATCCATGTGAGTAACCTGGACATTGCCCCGATAAGTCTTGGCCTTAGATCTCTCCCTTTTTCACTTTCTATTTAATAAAAATAGTACACCTGTTCTAGGTTGACTATGGGTTTGCCTTATGCCTTTGTCCTACTTGATTGATAATGAGGATACAATAGTGTGAAAACATTAATCTATTTGCACATTTAAAGGCTGCAAATGCACAAGTGTTCCCCAGTGGTAGTTTGACTTTTCTACATATTGCTGGGATATGCTGAGAACACCTTTCTACATACAATGTGTGGTGTTGGCAATGTATTCATTGAGTTTTGGAAGTCATACATTCATTCATCAATGTCCATCTCTTTAATATGAATGAGCTTTTCTCTCACTAGTGGTACTGGAAAACCACAGGAATGACATAATCCATTTCTCTACATATGTGGTTTCTGGAGTGTCCTTTCAATAAAGAAACTATTGCCAGGAATAACAGGGATAAATTACTGACATGTAAGCCTGTGGTTTTGTGAGGGAGAACTTAGGTAATACATAGAATCAAACTAGTGACCAGTGATGGTACAATGTATGTACTGTACTGATAATATCAAAGAAGAAGAAACTTTAGGCTTTCTGCGGGGTCAGTGAATCAGCCAGATTAGGTTTGTGTTTTGGTACTTTTCTCATGCTACAGCTCTCGTATCCATCACATTCTACTGTTCTGTTAATGTAATTGTGAAAAAAAACACCAAAGTAAAAATTCATTTGCCATTTTAGGATGAATCAGAGTGTTAGATGCTGCCTTTTCTTGCCATGGTTTTGAATGTGAGCGCAGTCACTATACTTCTGTTCTTTCTGGTTCCTCTGGACCTCTGCATCACTTCTCACTTCTTATATTTTTTTCCTAATGATTAAATACAGTACTGTGCCAAACATTGTAGCCACATGTTTAAAACCATCTAGGAGGTGTGTGATCAGTCCCAAATTTAGTGCCTGACAACAGCCCTGAACATACTGTACAGCCAGAGTTATAAAAAATCATCTTCAGAGACCAGAAGAACAAAGAGGCCTGCAACAGATGGCATGATCTCAGCATCACGGAGTCAGTCTAGGATTACATGAAGAAACAAAAGGCACCGAGACAGCCTAAATCCACAGAACAACTGTGACAAGTTCTTTAAGACGCTTGGAATACCCTCCCTGCCATGTACCTTAGAAAACTTTGTATGAAGTTAAATGATAAATAAAAATGTTTTTGAAAGCATTTTCACTGCCTAAAACATTTGCATAGTGCTGTACGTAGGTCTGTTGCTGCGCTTATTCAGGGCCTTTTCAAATAGCATTCAATACTGAATATATGCTGTTGCAAGGACATATGAAATAAAATGAACTGAGCTGGTGTATTGTTCAATTGGCAGAAGATAACATGAACAGTACAAGCTAACAAGCTAGCACTTCTACACTACTTACACCTTCAGCCGCCTCCATAGGTCATGTGATTCCCTGCCTTACAGGTTGTAGCAGTCCCTTGAGTGTCTCCGTGGCTAGGCTGCTTGTGTGTTATTTGTAAGCTAGCCAGTTAAATTACTAGCTTTCATTATTTTGGATTCTATCCTGAACTTGTCCTAACCCTTTTATGTAATTGAGTGTAGATCTTAAAAGGAAGCACCTGTCATAATACAGTTCAACTGCACCACAAACTGCAGCCTTTACACAGTTGAATCAGCACCTCTTTTAAAACAGATTCAACAAAAACTGAACATTATAACCTTCATGAAAACGGGATTTATTTCATGGCTGCTACATTAGACTGCATTAGTTTTATTTAGCTGTACCTAATTAATGGACAACGGAGTATGTATATTACCTTGTTTTAGTTTAAGAATCTCTGCACTACAACATAGTTATGTAAAGCAGGGCTAAACTGGGTTATCTGACACAAATTTGTGAACCTGCTGGCTATTCCCCTACTTTTCCCCTCCTTTGTGTCCTCATTTCTGTTGATTCCTTCAACCTCTGACATTAATCGAGGTCAAGCATTATTTTAGCAACCATATAATTTACAAAACCAATAGAAATGATTAGACGCTGCTGTCCTCCAAGCTTCATAGCTCTCTACAGAGGCAGAACAGTGACTTTCCATGGTTTGGGGAAGAATTAAACCATCTATTCAACAGATAAAATACTAGCATTTACAAGGAATAACAACAGTAAAGGTTGAAATAATCACCTTTTGGAAATCAACCCAAGTTATTTACCCCACAGAAAACACTGATAATCTAGCACTGCATTGTGGATGGATAAGTCACTTAGCCTTCATTCACCTTTTAGATTTGGCACAGCGTTATACAAAGATAGCTATAATTACTTGAAGCCAAAATGTGTGAGCTACTCTGTTTATGGTAGTGTAGTAGTAGAAGCCTTCTATTTATAGAGCTGTACACGGTTTACTATTTAAAGGTTTGGAAGAACAGAGTAGACAGCAATCGTTTGATAGTAATGTTAAAAGAAAAACAGGAAAACAGTGTCTTACTTTGCATCCTTGACATCTAATTGTAGTCCATTTCTCACCAGGTTGTGTTGTAATACTTTGGGGTTTAAACAGATTTGTCTTGTTTATCTTTAGAACAACCTGCATGACTTGGCAGTATAATTTTATTTCAATGTCTCATTTGACCATTTGTTGTCAGAGGTTTTTCCTGGTGCTTCTTCTGCAGCATTGTATGATGGATTTGCATTTTGATGCATTTTGATCAGCTGACTATGAGACACTCGTTTGCTTTGTTTAGTATGTTACTTTCTCACTGCACAGTGTGCACACAGCAGGCTTGTTGAGTTTTCTTCTTCATCTGTCGTATAGTAACTCTTACTAGTGTCTTTGGCCAATGTAAAAATCAAGCTTACTCCAGTTTTAATTGATCTAGAATACATGTCACATAATTCAGTTAGCTACTTTATTTTACCATTCCCATAGTTTTAAACACTATGACTAACCTGTTTCTGCTTTGTATATTTTTAAAGTATCTATCTTCTTGTCTCTTTTCTTCACAGGTCCATTCTCAGACGTGGTCACCACAAATCTTAAGCTGTCCAACCCTACAGACAGGAATGTATGTTTCAAGGTGAAGACAACAGCACCACGCCGGTACTGTGTGCGGCCAAACAGTGGAATCATTGATGCTGGCACCTCGATCAATGTCTCAGGTAATAAATGAGGACGTTTGACAAAGTGTTGTAGGGCAAGGTAGCCTGCAAAGTATCTTGATTACCTTGTTATTTACGGATAGTAAACTTTAACATCAGTAGTAGCTACATTTTAGTCAGTCGCCAGAACCTTTTTTGACTGTCTTTTAGTTTTTTTTTATTGCATTAAACACCAAGCATTTGATGTTAGAGGGTGCTGCTCCTTTTTTGCATACATCTTAGTTTTTGACTGTAAGCACTTTGAAGATATTTTTATGGAAAATGTTTATGGGTATATTTGATTTTGATTGGATTTCATAGACCATAAACTGAAAATAATCATTCATTACAGCCCTAGTAACTTTGGAGACTGAGAACTTGAATATATAATTAATAATCTCCTCTTTACATAAACACACAGACAGATTCTCTCCCATTGCAAAGTATTCTTATGTCTTCTCGTGTCCAGACACTCCTGACAGGCCTCACTAGCTGCCGTATGCTTTGCCGTACAAACCCTCTGTGTTCCAAGCTTCTGTCTCAAAATACAAGACAGTTGTAGACATCACCTTGACTCTATTTTAAAAATTATAGATGTTTTATTAACCATTGGTTAATTGATCAATAAAGAAAACAGCAGAGCCTCTGTAAGTTTTATATTTGATCACCCAGCATGAAGTATTATACAAAATCTTCCCATTAGCAGAAACTGCTTTTTGAAAAGTTGCATTCAAAGACTGTAGATCAAAGATGATTTAAATCACTTTTCCTGCTGTGGCTATGTGTTTATCATTTAAAGCATTGGCTACAGACTGTTTTATGTTTTGCAGTGCTCCTCAAAGAACTTGTATACTTTCCTGCCTCCATTCTCTAGTACTGTCCCCTTGGACCCAAGGTAGATGGCCGTGCAAATTGGGTCTGACTGAAACAGGATGTTCTCAATCTGTTCATGCCGTCTGTTTCTGGTTTGCGATATTGAACGGCCCTGATTGCAGTAATGGTGCACTACATCCATGAGGTTTTCCACTCTAGGGAGAATTGGCATGTGCCATATATGAGAACCATCCTGATAGTTTACACCGGCTTTGAAATTAGGAGATCATTTGTTTGTAGTGAAATCTAAATAGTCATGTAGGCACTGCGGACATAGTTAGCACTGATGTCAAAGAGGACAAGATCGACCATCAAAAGCCATTTTTATCCGCTCTGTGCTTCCAGGCTGCTGACATAAAATGATTGTTGTAAATTGTTGTTACAGCTCTGAAATGCCTCCTCAGTCATTGGAATGGCATCAGATGACACACCATATGCTGAGAGGGCTGATGTGGTGATGGGTTAAAGTAGTATTCCAACCCCACACCTGCTTTTTGTTAGAGTGATATGTAATGTTAGGAAGGAAAAGGCAGACTTGGAAGCTGTTAGAAAGATTACCCCCTGGGGTATTTGTAGGACTGTCAGTGTTTCATCGTCATGGTAACGCATACATAGAAATAAATCATCTCCACCACATTTTCCAAGCAGCAGGGAGAAGCTTACCGCCTTGAAGACATGTATTCTTTGACAAATACATGTGTATTTGATACTCACTAACTCCTCCTTAATCTGAGAAGTTGAGAAAGTGATGGAAAGTTGTTCACAAAGAAGAATTTGGGGCCTTTTTCTGTTTTATGCTGAGCTTCACCCACAAATCCCGGTGTGTTCCTGCCTGTCTGCTGCAGTTTGGCTGATACTAACAAGATACTTTGTTTTCCATGTTCCCCTGACCCTGCTGTTGATGGGAAGTGAGGATGAGGTTTAACAATGGGAAAATCAAACTGTGAGAGTATTTACAAAACAATGTGATTATACAAATTTAGTGTTCTGGCGTGTAACCTTTCTTACTATTTCTCCCCATTTTTCTCTTCCCATGTGTCCTATTATTCCTCCATTTTTGTCAATCAACTAAAGGAAAATCATCTTTTGTTATGTGAAATCTGTTTCTGTTGTAAGCAATAGTGACTTTACAGTAGTAATATGATACAGTATGTGACCTTGTAAGGCCATGGCTCCAGCCTTTTTTTGGTGTTTGGCCCCATCATTGCAGGTTACATAATAATAGCTTGATTAATCACTCACTGACTAAATATTTATCTACATCTATTCTGATGATTAGATAGTTATTAAAGTAATTTTTCAAGGCACCTTTATATATTCAAGCAAAACTGGCAAACGTTCTGTGCTTATAGTAAGTATGATTTGCTGCTTTTCTCTTTTTACATATTTGTAAATTGAATACTTTTGGTAGGTATTTTTGCCTGTAGAAAATTTCAGTGAGCATTTTTAACATTTTCTTGAACATATAGTCAAGAAAACTGCAAAAAAAAAATTTCATTGCACATTAAGATTGTCAAAATTTAAACCCCATGAATTCAGACAGTTTTAAAGTACAACGATCTCAGTGCTATAAAGTTAGTAGCTGCGTAAATGTTTGAGCCCTTGGAAAGATCCCAACCCCAGAAGCACTGCCCTACGGTATCATTATAATAACAACACAGAACCTACAGTTTTGTTGTGAGTATATAGCATGCTCTTAACATTTCTTTTCCTAAGACCACAGGAGAAAATATGGAGTGAGCAAAACATCCTGAAGTCTTTATTATCAGTGTGCAGGCTTGATGTTTTCTCTCCTGTGCTAACACTGACTCTCATTATGTGTTTCAGTTATGCTGCAGCCTTTTGACTATGACCCCAATGAAAAGAGCAAACACAAGTTCATGGTCCAGTCCATGCTAGCACCTCCTGACATGACCGACATGGAGGGAGTGGTGAGTGTATCTCATCTTTTAAAATACTTTTTCACCAATAGTCAGGGTTTCATCAAGTCCACCACAGAAACCATAATCCAAGCATCTGCACAACTGTTAGCAGATGCTAGAAAAAAAAAGGCTTGCATGCAGGCAGACACTGTAATAAAATCTGCCCTTAACAGGACAGAAAATGCATACACTGAATTTAACTGTACGGACAGAGGCATTTGAGTGGCAACTTGCAACCTGGATGTGAGCCTGTGTTGTAATAAAAGTAAAATGAATACAGTTAAGTCATAACAGTGTGTGTGGTCTCAAAGTGATCCTTGCAGTCACTGATCAACAGACATACAGTAAATCATAATTAAAATGCTAACAAGTGTCTTGAGAATTTAGTATGATATTGTGACACACACACACACACACATATGGTTAAAACACAAACAGTCACACTGAGATGAACTGAACGACGGTTACAAAAGAGACACTGTACTGAGCCAGTGCCTGAACCCCAGTGGCGTCTTGTGCGGGCCTGTGATTGAAACAGAGGTTAGACTTGAAAGCAGATTTTTGTGGTGGGGTTGTAAGAGGAGCACAACAGAGAGAAGCTGCAGACCTCCTGGTGGTAAATTTATGTCCATTGTTGTTTCACACAAAATGTGGAATCAGGGAACAATGGACAAAGCAGATCTCTCTGATAACAGTCCAGCTGTTGATGATGATGTTCAAGCGCAAGCTGAGTAAGAACACAGTCGTATTTACAGCCACAGTCTGAATGTGCTTAGGAGGAAGTAGTACTCACCGATACATTGTCATACTGGCAATTCTACATATTTTTGAATGTGTAGTGCAGGTTTAGTGCCACGTCCCAAGGGACGCTTTACTCTATCAGTCTTTCTCCGTATAAATTTGCATTTGGTAAGGGATTATTGCCATATACTGCTAAGATTGTTTTCACATTTCTGCCACCCAGTTTAACCAGTTAGTCTTATATACACTGCATATTATGGAAAATTTTCAAGGAAAATGAAAATGGTTGTTTTTTCCCATTTTATTGATAAAATATGCATATGCTATCATCAGAAATTTAATTTACCTTTCTGTATCTATAGAAATTGTTCAACAAGGACACACTGTCATAAATCTGAAAAGTGTTTGTTAAACCAATATGTCCTTACACTCCATGCGTCACACCTACACCTAATCTTTAGTTAGGTGGACAATATAGAAACCCTGTTTAAACATGTAACTGAAAGATAATCTTACTGTAGTGTTGTATTGGATTTTTCACAGAGCGTTGCAATCCTAACCTTTTTCTTGATTGAATAAAATAATAATAATTTGTTGTTCTCTGTCTCTCCAGTGGAAGGAGGCTAAGCCAGAGGAGCTAATGGACTCCAAGCTGAGGTGTGTTTTTGAGATGCCAGTGGAGAACGAAAAAACGGTAAGCACGTGCTGTTGCTTCTCTCCTCTCCTTGTATCACCGTATGTATTTTAGTTGTCACTACAGCTTGTATATCAAAGAGACTTCAGGGAGTAAAATGTCTCATTGCTTCTTTCCAGTGTTTTCAGAATCACACTAATTGGTCTCAGTATGGTGTCACAATATATTTTTTCCTGGCTGGTTTTTACCAAATATATCAGAATGATGCATTTTATTGCTTTCTGTACAGTACAACATTTGTCCCAAGCAGGGGCTGCATTATTTATGGGGCAGTGATGTTTGTCGTTTTCAAACACCTCACCTTTTACTGCTCTGCTGTATCTCTTGTATCTCTACAGTACCAGTTAGATTTATGACCTTGCTTTTTATCTTTCCGCATCTTCTCCCACTTTCCTCTTCCCACACTCATCTTGCGTCACCAGTACTCTGAACAACCCTTCAGAGAGGCACTTTTGTTCATTCTCACATGTAGTTTATCGTTGTTGTGATTCCTCTCAGGGCCCAAAAAGCTGTAGAGACGTTATCTTGTCATGATATGAGTTGAGATTGTTGGCTTTGGGAACACCAAGGGGGAAAAGGACCTGCCTGTTTTAGTTGTTTTCAATTCATTATGAGCTGTGCAGTAAATTCACATGACTCCCAGTCAGCACTGTGCACCACAGAGACTGTTAAACAGAGATAGTGCTGATAGAAACCAGCTTGAGCCACTTATGAAAGGCACTCCCTGGGTGAACTCTTCCACAAGCTTAGTGATAGAAGGCACTGACCAAGCATAGAAACTTGCAAAGAGGCAGGAGCACATTTGACATTTGTGCAGCACAGACTTTATGCATGCCTTCTTCAGAGCTTAACAATTAAAACAAATCACATCATATTTAAAGCTTCCTTGGCACCCAGATGTGCCAGCCAGTCTGTGTAAAAACATAATTTACAACGAATAAAATCCTGCAGTTTAATACAGGCCAGATCCTATGTATATCCTTCAGTCTTACGTACATAAATATACAAGGAATATACAAAGTATAGAGATCAAGACAAATATTCTCTTAATATACAGTTTTATGATAGAAACTTTAGCAGATACTATCAATGTGACCTTGTAAAAATAAAATTGTAGTACAAAATGTAAATAAGTGGAGTTATATGGAAAACATGACCCTGACTATATAAGGATAAGGTTAATCACCTTTATTTGGCCAAGTATGTTACACACACAAGGAATTTGTTTCCAGTACAGAACCGAGGCAGCCATCTGCGATGCCAACTCACACCGATGGCTCTAACCATCGGGGGCAACTTGGGGGTTTGGTGTCTTGCCCAAGGACACTTCAACATGTAGACTGCAGGGACCGTGATTCGAACCTCCGAGCCTCCAGTTGGGAGACAACTGCTCTACCCACTGAACCACAGTCATCCCCAGTATAAAAAGTATAAAGACAGATAACAGGGTTACTAAAGAAGTACACAACAGTAACATAAAGTACCAGCTATTGTAGGAGCCATATGCATTAAGTCATTTAAGGCTAGGCTAAGGTAAAACCAGAAATCCCAAGTGTTATTGCACCACAGCAATAGTTTTATTACACTTAATGTCTAAGTAGCTCAACTCTGGGAACAGTCACAGCACATTATACATCTCGTATAACAAAATCAAAACAGCACTAAGAATAAGAATGAATAAAAACAGCCTGTCACTACTAAAGGTGTCCAAAACTAACGGATAGAATTAGAACAGAGGGAAATCATTATTTAATCCTGTGGCTATCCAGTAGACTTGCTGTTGCTCATATTATTGCAGTACACACAGTTACCACTGTTAGTTTTTATGCTTGTTTTCTGCCTACAATCACTAAGATGACTTGTGCAGTTCAGTATACATCCCTACAGTTTTAGGAGTCTGGAGCACATCAGCTACGTTGCAGAGGTGGGGGATTCAGATGAGGCTCAGTGTTCCTGCAGGCTTTTGTGTTTAACTTTGCATACATACTGCATATAAAATTCCTGAATGTAAACAGCATGCGTGTGCCAGCCACATTTTAACTTGTGCCCTGCCAACTCCACTTACAGCATGACATGGACTCCACCAAGATGATATCGTCCAGCTTGCTGAAGTCGGAGTCTTCTGCACTGCCAGCGAAGTCACTGAGCTCCACCCTTGATGATGGGGAGGTAAAGAAGATCATGGAGGAGTGTAAGAGGTTGCAGATGGAGGCTCAGAGGCTACGGGAAGAAAACAAACAGATCAGGGTGAGTGACATGACTTAAGCACCAGTGTCAGGTAATTTTTCAGTTTTTCATTTTGCTGTATTTCTGAGACAGTAAAGACATAGGTATTGCTGTAGTCTCAGTCTTGCATATAATAACGGGTATACAGGAAATCTGTTAGCAGAGGCAGTAACATATTTATGATACAAATCCTGCTGGTAAGTACGAACCTTAACTTCAAATGATGTAAACTCTGTTGGGTAAAGTCTAAGTCACACTGGTGATTGGCAAACCAACTTCTGGCTCTGATTAATTACTACAAAGCAAACCTAACTGATTGTCGATCAGTTGATCACCTGCTGAGCTGAGCCAGACAGATCCTGACTCATCTCATCTTATTATCAGTGTTAGATGATGGCTGAAACAGTCACATCAGTCATTAAATGTGGCCTTTGCTTTGTGATGCTGCAGTGCTACTCATTTTCCCTAAAGCTTAATGAGCTTAATGGTTTATTCAGTGAAAATGTCATAATTGTGCCTGTGACTCAGGATGTCAGTGGGTCGTCTACCAGGTTTGGTGGTTTGATCCTTATTGCTTAAATAAATTTGCATAGTGGTATCAAATAACAGTGTGGAACAGCATTCAGTCAACATGTGCCGCCTTTGTTATCATGTTTTATGTTGTTTACTGACTAATCATTTGGTCTGTGAAGTGTAAGAAATTCTTTGTTGTCATGTTTTATGTTGTTTACTGACCAATCATTTGGTCTGTGAAGTGTAAGAAACTAAGACCCCAAGTGGCATTAAATGTTGTGCTGTTTGAACAATACAATGCAAAGATAGATAGTTTTCTACCAGAACCACAAAATGTTCACATTTTAGATGCTAAAACCAGTCCATTTTTGGCATATAAAAAGTGTCACTCGATAATAAGATGTTGCTGATTGACTGACTAGTTGTTTCACCTCTAATATGGACTGTATATTGTGATTTAGTTCAAGCATTCAATCCAGCTTCAAGCTTAATCAAAGACAGGGCAGGTGTTATTCTTCTGAACAAAAAAAAAACCTCACTTCAACTTTATTGACAGAATTGACAGATAGCATCACTGAACATCCACAGTCACATTTGTTTCTTGATAGGTTTTTGTGTAATGCTCACAATCCAGATATGTAAATTAAGTGAAAATTTGAGACAGACCAAATGCTTCTTGCAAACGGCGCTGTGGTGTCCTCCAGCCTTTTGCTGTGAGGTTCATGTTAAGTGAAACTACTCACAGCTATAATCTGTGGCAGATATCAGGGTTCAAAGCTCATAAATCAGTTGTTCAAATCAATGGGTATGACACCAGTCATAACTGTCAATGACGTAATGTTGGATTCTATTAATGTTTAGTTGGAAATAAGTCATACGCACCGCAAGCAGCCAGTCCTCTTCCCCTCGAACACCACCACCTCCTCCTGCCTTTTAGGTTTTTGCCAGAGGCAGAATGACCGTTGGCTGCGCCTGTGGCTGAGATTAAACTAACAGAGATACTCCCCACCCGCTGCTAGGAAATGAAGTGTGTTAAAGGCTGGCGCCTTCTGTGGTCCTCAGAGGATTTGGTCAGATGAAGATTTAAGCAGATCCCATTTTTTATTAGCTGATAAATACTGCTTTATCTTATTGTCTGATTGACAAACTGAGCACCTCTATTCCACGTTTCTCTTTTTTCCACTTTCCTTATTTTGCTCCCCCACCATTATCACCTCCCCGCTTCCTTTCTTTCATTATTTCTCAATTATTTCTTTAACCCTTCGTACCCCCTCCTCCCCGTTTTAGGAGGACGATGGTCTGCGGATGAGGAAGAGTAACATAATTTCATCCCAGCGCCCTTCAGTTGGCATGAAGAAAGAGGAGGGCCTGAGCGCCCGTGCAGTGGCCCTCATTGTGCTTTTCTTTGTGTTTGGTGTCATCGTGGGCAAGTTGGTCTTGTAGAGTGCAAAGCAGTTCGGTCGGCCGCAGCATGCTTTGATGAAAACAAAACACAGGATCTGGGATTTTGGATCAGAAAATGCCATATCTGCTGGGTGGGGGGGTGGTACTAGTTTTGATTCAGTCACTTATGTTAAAAAAAAAAAATTCAAAGGTAATATATGACAAAAAAGAAAAAAATCATCTTATGAACAAACCTACTGTTATAGGTCTTGCCTCTACATAGTCTTCACATAATCATTCTGGCCCTCTTCCCAAAGTTTCGTGTATACAGATGACTGGTTCTGTGGGTAGGGGTTAATGAAAACATGATTTAATGCTAGTGATTCTGACCAATGGATTTTCTAACACCGGCAAAGCAGTGTTGGTGCAACTGAGTCAGTTTGCAATTGTGCAAATGTCATTTTAGTGTGTTGATTTTTCTTAATGATGGAGGCAAGAGCCTATGTATAAGAAATCCCCTCACTGTACAGGTTATCCAGGTGTTCCTTCCAGCTAAACCCTTTTTAAGGAAGGGATTTACCTGAGAGCTGATCCACACACTCGGGGTTTCACACAGGGCTATCACACAGACTCCAACAATCAGAGGCTTTGTAAAGTTGGCTTGTCTTTGATTGTCGAACATCCTTGATCAGTGTAGGAAACACTATACCGCAGGTATTTTCATTCCTCCTGCCCCTTTTATTTTTCACGCTACCTTATACTCCTCACCTGTCACTCACTGCTCACCACATCCCCGGTTGGCAGAGGTGGATGTTTGATTGCATGTGTTCACAATGAGGCATCTGGACTTTTGAATCTAATTTAATTGCTTTTATAATTATATTAATAATATGTCATTTGGCTGTAGGTTTGCACAACTACATTTGCAGTTTTTTTCTCTCTCGTGTTTTGTTGCATTTTTAGGATTTTAAGTAATTTTGTTGTTGTTAGGGTTGAATCATTAGAGTTTTGCAGCTCCATGAAATGAAATTTGTAGGATTACAACATTTCTGCAAGTGTTCTGCAGATGTAAACTTTGCCTTGTGATCTGTTTGGGCAAGTTGTTATCAGCCAAGGAGGAGGTATATACAGTACATTAACACAGACACACCACAGACACAAGTACATGGAAAGCATGCATGCATACATACATTTGTGGGAAACTACAAATGTACAGAAGGTGCATGTAGAGGTAAATGTTTTTGCATTATCATAACATCAGCACCACCAAGGATCTGTTACTGCATGTTTTCCAGCTCTTGTTTGTTTCCTCGTTTTCCTACTGAGCCATACATTTGTTGACATTCTGTTTTGTTTTTGGCAAATGTATGTCAGAAATGAACTGAGTGTTTAGCCTGCCTGCTCCAGCTCTCCGCTGCAGGCCTGTGTTCAGTTTTGGGTGTTTGTTCAGCATTTATTCATTGTTTATTAATGTCATATCCTCACTACATTAGAAGTCGTATTCATTTAATGCACTAAGGTTAAGAATGTCTGTCATATGATCTTCCTGCAGCGCACACAGTTTTTCCCTCAAGCGAGAGGGGAGGAAAAGCATTCAGCCTAGCTATAGTCTCGAGGGGACCACATGATGACATTGTACTGTTTAAGAGCTAATGGTTATCTTTTTGTCAAAAATAAACAACAAAAAATATACTCAAATTGTTTCATCTCCAGATTTATACATTGAAGGACAAAAAAAGCAGTGGAGAGTGGCATTTAATAGTGCTTGTTCAAAAGAAGAGCAGCTGTTCATTTTTTATCCACTGTATCCACATATGAGATGAACAGGAAAAAAAAATCCAGCATCTTTACAAGTAAAGCAGAGTGAAAGGTGATGGGTTTGCCTCGTTGGTAATAGGTTAAAACAAACATGAGCATGTGCTTCTACTGTAGCGTTGTTGGGTTGAGGATGACTTGCTGCTTAGAGGGAGGGCAGAGCAGACCTGAGCTACAGTCCCATCTTGGGTTATCAGACCTGGGTCATATAGTACTAATGTTGAAAAGGGTCATTAAATGAATCCTGGCTGTAGTATCAGCAAGCTTTACACAAGGAAAATACTTCAAAATACCTGAATATACTGTTGTTTTGGTTAGGAATTGTCCTGCCTTGTTGCAGTAAGTCCAACTAATGCTGGTACTCCAAGTGAGATTTGATAAAAATAATTGCATATAAATACTAACTGATCAAGGCCTAGTTGTAAAACACACTACACTGACCTGTCCTGGAGTCTCTGACCATCACCGTGATCAATGTAAGCAGTCGGGAAACTGTTTTGTATGTATATAAATAAATAAATAAGTCTATCTGAGAAGAAGAGTAATATTCCTAGTCAAGTAGTTTCTCTGGTGTATAAAAGCAACCCAACCTGGTTGGACTATGTAGCATCTTAATAAATTAAATGAATTCAGCCCTTGTCTAACTGTGTGAAGTCATTTTTTGTTATGCACGTGGGCTCTAGATTACGTTTACACTGTGTATAAGAATTGACCAAACCTTTTATTTCATTTAATGAAAATTTCCTCAAGAATTTTATTTATAGCAGCATATTATGAATAAGAAATGAACTTTATAAAAGAGTTTCTGCTGGCAAAGCTAGAGATGAAGACTGGAGACTAACTGAAAAGACCGTTGGAAGAACATCATAAGACTGATGAGATCCATCCTGATGAAATAAGTTTACAATTAATTTTTCATAAATTAACAGTGTGAGATGTTTTTTTTTTTTTAAGAGTTCACCCCTTTAGCATTGTACCGTTTGGATGCAGGATTAAAAATTTATGCAGCAGAGCCAGAACTCTCATCTTCTTTATCCTATGCATTCTTTTTCCTTGTCAAGACATGGCATCTGCATTACCCACAGTGCAACTGTATTGCTAACAGATCAGTCAGCCCTTTGAGTGTGCTATGCTAATGACAGCAACACACTGATGTTTGATGCCATCAGATCTGAGAAGCTAAGCAGGGTCAGGCTTGGTTAGTACCTGGATGGGGAGACTACATGGGTCCATCGGGTGCTGTGGCTACACCCATCTACTGGGGGTGGTCAAGCCAGAATTGGATCACTAAGGGTGTCCAGTATAAAATCTGTGCCAAATCACAGATTGGAGGAATCTACCGTTGCGATCCCTCAAAACACGAGACCAGCCAAAAGATGGATGTACTGGTAGCAGCAAATGTAACCTCAGGCCTTAAAGCCGCAAGCAGAGATGAGGACCAGACTACAGAAGTTAGGTAAGCTCACTTCCTTCCACCCCTCCAGGTTTTTTAAATTTTCACACTTGTTGTTTTCAGCCCAAACTCATGCAGACTCAGTTTTCCTGTTCAGGTAACCACTGGCTAATATTGTTCTTTGAAGTCTAAGTCAGAATTTGGGAAATGGGTTAAAATCTCCTATTGTGTGTTCCTTTACCAAATAAAAGTGCCTATTAAGAGACAGAAAACTGACATGCTGTGTAATTACTACTCGCTTCACAGTGAGAGCTGCTGCCACTGACATCCAAGGCCACACTTGTTAGTTGTTACCACTGTGCTTGGCTTGGCAGTGCTGCAATTTGCAGTGGGATTGGAGTGTTAAAATATATACCTGCAAGGAAATTAATTACCCCCCAGATTTCTACATCTTCAGTTATGGTATCAAATAAAATAAAAACCTAGTAATTCATTCAGTGTTATTGTACCAGTAACAACCAGGCAGTGTTTCTGTCTGCACCTTGTGGTTGGAGGCAGCAGAGCGGAATTGTCAGTAGCACCTGGGCCTGGTAGCTCCTCAGTTGTGTGTCTTGGCCACAGCAAGACACAGCTGTGAACTCAATGGTGGAAACCAACCAATATTAATTTTCGCTTTTACATTCAGTTGGGAAGTAACCCGTTTCCAAGGTAAATCACAGAGGAATGTTTCAAAATAGTGAGAAGATGAAAACTACAAGAGGGCCAGAGGTTTGCTGCAAATCTGAAGGAGACCTCAAAGAGGCAGGAGCTGGTGGTCAGGTTGTCAACCTGCAGAGAGTCCGGGAAGTCAATGCTCCTGTCAAAAAATTAGTTCAGCACATACAGTAAACCTCATAAAACCACAACGTGTAATCTAAACATTTAGTTTTTTTTGTACAGAGTAAATAAATGTGATCAAAGGTGTTCATTAGTGAGCTTTGGAAGTGCTGGTTGGTGGATTTTGTTTTCTATGGGCAGAGCCAGGCCAGCTGTTTCCCCTTCGTTGCAGTCTTTATTACAGCATTATGGCTGCTTAAAAAGAAAGTGTGTCATTTCATTTGTTTTGTGCTGGATGTGTAAAAAAAATCCTCTAAAAATCAGCCCATTTTCAGTCCTTCAAAATATTTTTTGCTGCTAGAAATGACAGTAAATTTTTTTTATTGCACCAAATAAGGAAACACTTATTACTTTATTTGTTATTTAGGATATGAACAAATTATGTTTGCTGATAAAGTAATTCACAGACAAGAAATGTTTGGGGTATATTAGATCTCAAAGATGTCTAACTCCCTTTTCCATCTTTATAGGAAAAAAGTATAAATTCTAAATAAAAATGAAAATAAAATAGTGTCATGGAGTGTCTAGGAGGCCGAATGGCTACAGCACATGCCACTTATCCACTTTATCTCGCACTATTTTGAACTGGTGGTTCTTATTATTAATTCTGACCCCAAGGAAACTGCACCAGATGTTGATCGCTTCAGTGAATCTGGTCTTCATTGAGGTCTGTACAATAAAACTCAGGTCTGGCTGTACTTTGAAGTTGGCCAACATATAAAACATTCAGTTATGCATCAGACTGACACACTTTGTGTTAACTGTGTGCCATAATTAGTTTTGGCAATGTGATGTACAGTATATTGTTTAACCCTGCTAGTAAAGTCCACAGAGACACTGCTACATCAGTAGGTTTTACTTAGTTACTGTATATATATCTTTAATTTATTTTCCTTCTCGAAGTTGCACAAGTGAAACTGAATATTCTTCACGGTATAGTTGTTTGGTGCACAAATAAGCCAAGTTGCATGCAAGTGTTCTACTTAAAAGCATTTTTTGGAGCATAACACTTTAAAAAGGATTTTCAGCTTTCCAGAAAGGTTGGAGGAAGGACAACTGGCAGTGAGTGATGCTTTCTGGAAGAGTGGGCCTGTGGCAGAGCTCTCCAGCAATGACCATTTCAATCATTTTGTGATCTTAACCATAGAGCAGAAACATGACCTGGTTTAACAAGCCACCAGAACTGACAGGCAGCTCCTAAGGGAACGCTTCTGTCCAAATGAGTCCCAGTGGTAACAGACCGTCTTAAAGTAGATGTTGAAATTTACTGTCCATCTGTCACATTTTTATGTGTGGTAAACAAAATGAAGGAGTAGATCAGATATTGTTTCTGGGCTCTGTCATGTCCTAGAGTGGCGGAAAGTAACTCAGTACATTTACTCATTTGTTGTACTTAATTTGAAGACTTGTGCTTGTATATTTCTATTTTATCTGCTCCACTACATTTTAGAGGGAAAATGTTTTTCTTTACCTACAGTACATATGTACTGTGCAGTATATGATGTTAATGATTAAACTAGTGAGTTCTCATAGTTTTGCTTGTGACCCCTAAAAAAGTAAATGTCTATTACAGGGCTGTTTGTCTGTAAGTCAGTAGTAGTTCCAAAAAAGGAAGTGATTTCCTCACTAAAGGTCTCTTATTGTTTCATTTACAGTAAATAATTGTTAGGTCCAGAGAGGACAATCTGATCATCTCACAATGTGCCAGGTTCATCTTGTGATCCCTAGGTCGGGAACCGCCGGACTAAACAACTGAACTGTAGTATTTTTGGGGGGACTTTATTTTTGGATTGTTTTTAACTTATTAAAAATCTAGAAATTCTGTCCATAAAGATAATGAACAGAACCGGTGACAAAGGGCAGCCCTGCCGGAGTCCAACATGCACTGGAAACAAGTCTGACTTACTGCCGGCGATGCGAACCAAGCTCCTGCTCCGGTCGTACAGGGACCAGACGGCCCTTAGCAAAGGGCCCCGGACCCCGTACTCCCAGTGCTCAACAAAAAATGACTAGTGAAATGTATATAAAATTTACCAAATAAAGAATTAGACATGCATGTTGGGCATATAAATCGTGGCCCACCCCTAATTAGCTTGTATCTTTGCAAAGTACAGTAAGCTTGGTGTATCTGCTTTAGATGGTGCGTGGCTGACTCTTTAATTAACCCGTCCTCTTATAAAAATATATTTACAAAGAAAAATGATAAAAACACGCAGTTTCACATTTTTTCCATATTCAGTAATTTGCTTGAACTTACTGTAAAGTACTGAAGCACATAAACACACTGTCCTAGTGAGGAGCTGGTAGTTGCACAATAAAAAAATGTTTTAAAAAGAGAATACTGCCCATTTGTTGTGCATGTTGGACTCCGGCAGGGCTGCCCTTTGTCACCGGTTCTGTTCATTATTTTTATGGGACGAATTTCTAGGTGCAGCCAGGGTCCGGAGGGAGTCCGGTTTGGGGACCACAGGATCTCGTCTCTGCTTTTTGCAGATGATGTTGTCCTGTTGGCTCTATCAAACCAGGACCTCCAGTGTGCACTGGGGCGGTTTGCAGCCGAGCGTGAAGCGGCTGGGATGAGAATCAGCACATCCAAATCTGAGGCCATGGTTCT